TTGCCCACTAATTATTCATAAATGCACATTTATGCAAATAGATTAACCTAATTCACTGATGTCAACAACTCCTGGGTCGGATTAAAGATTTTAAATTAGAGTCTGGAAGTCTGGACCATATACTTTTACACACACACACACACACTCATTTACATATATAATCTCAGCTAGAGACAAACAGACACACAAAGCTACAGTCTGTCTGAAGCCATTAGCGCTAATGGCTAATAATTAAAAATATTAAAACAAATGAAGACATGTGTCTGGATCCTGCCACCAGGTCACCACCACTTCCACGCCACCTGTGCCACCCGACCCACCACCTCCAATGCCTGATGCCAGCGTGTGTCGTTCATTAATCTCATCTATGACGCTTATTAAAGAGCAGCACGCGTCACAGAGTTTGTTTGTTTTTTTATGTGTATATTTCATCTGGTCACTTCCAGAGGGTGTGGCCACATCACAGTGGCTTTGAAGGGAGGTGGGACGGAAAAGAAAACAATATATTGTTTATTTCCATACACTATTGGAACTTGTTATTACATTTAAAGTAGCTATCTAATTCCTGTGACCTGCAGTGTTTTTCTCTGACAACAAACATAACACATTTTTCCAAATTTAATATTTAGCTTTTTCTTGAGTTCCTGTGTCTAACTCTACACCCTATTTAACATTTAGAATTCATATTAGAGGCCAAATTCTACTAGCTTAATGTTCGACCAGAGGAGTCGGCTAAAGTGCTGTTAAACTGTTGACTACTCCTAATTCTCTATCAAATCCATGACTTTGTTATGATGTGAAGCTCATCTTAATCCATATACTGTGTAGGTCACATAGACGTGATTGAACAAAATAACGTACAAAAAAATCAACAATGTTAAAACAACTATTTCTGGTTCAGAGGTCACATGACCCCTTATGACCACTGCTAACTACTCCCTGCTCAAGAGAGAGCAGCGTTTTCCTTGTAGTGAATGTTTGTGAAGTGGGATCAGTAATCCATGAACGTGTTAGGATTAACGGAGTCTTCAGGGTCTTCAACGCCACTGCCGTCACTGACGCTTAAATTAAGCAGAAAGGAAAAACTGTGGCCCCGCCCACTTCACTTCATATTCACTGCTTATCTCATTGTAGCCTCCAATCCAAGTTAGCAGGGATTAAAGCACTCAGAGCAGGATAACCTCGTTAATCTGAGGCATGGTAATGAGTCCTGGCACAGATTATTTTAAATTAAAAGCAAATATCAACAGTCATTTAAGAGGGCAGCACTGGCTGTAGCAGTTACACCAGCAGCAGCAACAGCTGAACAGCAAAATTACCCCAAATCAGAAAATACACTACTTGTTACAAATGTACAATGTTGCACTGTGTTTTAAACATTTTCTCAATAACATTTTAACAATAACTCAGCAAAAAGAAATTAAATGACATAAGAATTCTCTATGTAATTCCTAAAGAAAAGTTAGGAATTTTTAACTTAAAATGATTACAGTATTTTAGCCTTTTTATATTTTTGTCCTTTAAAACATCTTTCCTTGTCTCTGTCACCGTATATTTTAGCCTTTTTGTCCTTTAAAACATCTTTTTTTGTCTCTGTCACCGTGTCGACTCGTTGCCTCTGTCCTTTGTGCTTCGTCTATTGGACTAGGTTACAGTGAAAGTTTAGCTTTGATTTGATTAAGTTTGTGGAATCAGCTTTGCAGCCACTTTAATCCAGCGGCAGATTGAAGCTTTAACTTTTTATTAAAGGTCACGAAAGTGAAATAAGACAATATGTAATCTGACAATATGTCCAGTGTAAATATGTACGTTCACATGTAATCTGACAGTCACATCAACACTGGGAGTTTAACAAGAGTCAAAATCACGCAAAACATCAGGGATCTTTTCACACGAAGACCCAAAAATGACGGAGGAGTTTCAGAGATAAACCGTTCCTAAAACCTTCACATGGTTCAAACACTAAAGTCTATGATTAACATTGTCAAAACCGGAACCTTAACGACTATAAATGTTTTGTAGGTTGAACGGTAAAAGTGTTTCAGAATTAAAGATTGGCTAAATAAGTTCAAAAGACAACACCAAAGATAACTTGTACTTGTACTTTGTTACGTGAAGCACATTAACCAGAACTCCATAGTTATTAAAACCTGATCTAGATGCGTGAAGGTTTTGGGGAAACATGGAATCGTCTTTGTCCACAGTGAGAACACAGCCTCAGTCCCGGGATGAAAACAAAAATCCCATTTTAATTTCTCTGGTGGATGAAAATATAAAACCACTTTATTTTATCCCGTTACATCAGAAGCAGCAAATATAATAACTTTAATGGGATAATTTAATACAATTTTCTTTATTTGATGTGCTTGGATTGTGAGGGCTAATCTGGTAGTGTTGTTTCAGAGAGATTAAAATATATATCAACAATGTATGAACGTCAGACGCTAAATGGACTGAATAGACAATAGTGGCTGGTGACTTTAATCAGGTTAAATGAATTTATCAAGCAATTTTAGAAAACAACATAAGCCAGGCCAAAGGACTTTACAACAAAAAATATTAGACAGAAGAGCTGTAGATAATAGTAATAACATTAGGAGACAGGACAGTTAAAACGAGTGGAGCTGGTTAGCCTAGCATAACAAAAGCTGTGCATGGTTCATTTGGGTGGAATATGTGAGCACAACAAAAAGAAATGAAATAGTATAATTAGTTTGGAACCGCCTACTGTAAACTCAATTCTGAGAACAGAGAACATTAACTGGAACTTGTGAAACCAGTTAGCTTGGTTTAGCCCAATGACGCCCAATGGTAAACCCAGTTTAATATCAGGAGTAAAACGTGTTAGAAAGAGTATAAGGATCCTTTGTGTAACACAAAGAGTAGAAAAAGCTGGAAGGTGTAACTTTTTTTAGACATGTAAAACTAGTTAGCTTTGCGTAGCGCAAATATTAGGTGAAGGTAAAAGCAGTTTAGATAAACATATGTAGCTATAGGGGAAGTTCCAATTAAGGTGCAGCCTGTGTTGCTTAAAGAAAAAAATGTCTACTGTAGATAAAGAGATTTATTTTTTTAGATAACATTAGCTAACTGGAAAAAAGACAAACGATGTCCTGGTTTGTACCATTTTCAGATCTCCATGCTTCATATGTTTTATTTAATTTTTGTTGGTTTATTTTTGTTTTTCTTGTTAACCTACCTTTTACATTCCCCATAGAAATCAAATATCTTTGCAGCTTTTGAACTATTCCTTTTCCCCTTGCCCTTTAGGTTTGTTGTGTGTGTATAATCTTGTTTGCTTCTTTCTGGTCCCTTATTTTTTCCTTGGTTTCCCTCTAAGTTTCACTCCTCATATCTCATTTTTCTACTGGTTTCCCTGGTTAATGGCTGGTTTTCTGGACTCACCATCAGAGATAATCCCTCGCAACAACAATAATGAAAATAATAGACCCAAACATTTAATCTGGCTCTTAACGTGGCCCTGCTTGTCTAATCCCAATCTTATTTGTCCCAGGCTGCGCTGTGGGATGAGATGGTGTTTAATCGACTTTGGTAGAATTAGTTATTCCTTATTATCGCTGTGGTTTTTACAGGACTTTCCTGGAAAATCCTATTCAACACACATTTTAATTTCATTTCTGCAACTCAATCGTGGTTAGCGACATGTAAATAATCCAATAAGAGTAATCATCATTTCTTTTCATTTATTTCCTCCAGAAATAGACCAGCAGTGGATTTGATGCTGCCTTCACTCTCCTTTATTGGTTTTTTAGAGGCTGATGGTTTTAGAAAATGTCATCATGACCCCAATTACTCTGCCTGGGCGGAATGTTCCCTCAGGTTCTCTGAAAAAAAACCATTCCAATCTTATTACTGTAGGTTGTTAAATTTGTTATCATTTGTTGTTATGATGTGATGTCTTGAATTCCCAGTTATGATCATTTTAACAGAAAGGCATTTAAACATTTTTAAACATTGAGTGGACATGTTGATCCACTGCTGTCTTCATGGGTATGTTTAAATGTGTTTTTATGTCTTTTTCATAGCCTTTTGTAGGTAAACTGTTTCTTAGGTAGCTAAACAGGATGCAGAGATATGGTAAATTTAGTGTGAGACTGATTTCATTAGTTCATGGAATTCCTTTTTATCTTTTTACTATTAAATACATGAAACACACAGATTTGTGAAAATGTCTAGTTTCTGCTCACAGCCACTGTGGTGTACAAATGTGGGATTGGGACACAATATAAAAACAACAACACTTCAATTTTTAAAAAAAAAATGGCAATAATCACCACAGATAAAAAGAAACAAAAATGTTTCAACTTCC